CAATACTAATCCATGCAACTGAGATCAGAAGAACACTTATCTTTGAAGCAGCTATCAATTGGATTTTTTCTATCTCTTGATCTGGTTTATCCAGCTGTGCATTTAAGATTTGTGTGCTTTACTGTGCACAAGTTCTAATTCAGCAGGAAATAAATATAAAGTGTTTCAGTCTATATTGTAGACTAAACCTTGATTAGTTCAGAGAGATGCTAAGTGGCAGATCAAAAGGCAGGATGGGAATAGTCAAACCTAGTAGAAATATAGTAGTGAAAGAAATCCTGGCTAATTTACAAAGCAGCCATGGAGAGAATTAAGACAAGTCATGTAGGTAATACCACGAGTAGTTAGTACTGATGATGTTGATTCATAGGTCATACAAAGCCAATTCTGTACAAGTCTCCTACACAACCTAAAAGTACTTGAGTCAAGACTAACGCAGGTAAAGCTGATTGCTTATTGAAACAAAAAATAAGAAAAGTCTCGTGAACTAGTATAACAAGGGTCTAAACATATTTGACGTATTTTGTCAATATACATTATATATTTCTCTATATTGGTTAAAAATATCCCAACAGAATATATGTGTCTCATGAAGCCTGTTGAATACAACTTACACTATTTTATGTTATCCTTTGTCCCCATGCCAACCCTAGGAGGTGTGTTTTGTTAATACCCTTTGAGAAAAGCTCACACTGAAGGTCACCCCTAAAGTGGAAGAAATGGGTTTTAACTTGGGTCCATATGATTCTAAAGGAAGCTAGATGGAATGAGTTACAACTGAGACAAGCAAAGCTAAGCACTGCAAACAAACTCTAGTTTGAAAAAAAAAAATCAGTCAAAAATTGAGAACAGAATCTTGGATGAGATAACCTCATATAATAAGTTATTTCTGTTTCAAATTTTCCTGTGATCATTCTGTACACATATGTATCCACACATGTGGTAATTTTATATACATGTTACAGATGGCAATCAGTCTTCTACAGCTGTTATGTCTACTGAGTAAATAATGTCTTGTGTAACCTATGATTTTTCTAAACGAAAAGATCTACATTTCAAGATGGTTGAAATTAAGATGCAAGTTTTATGTTTAAAATCAATCTTAAGGCTGCCACCATAAACTTTTTACCCCTTTATCATCTCTTATTTAAAATATATTTTAAGCATTAATTTTATTTTTCTTATTCTTTATTCTAACTTCTTCAAATTTGGATATTAATGTTGAAGGCATTTTAAGATATAACTTGTGATAAGGAAAATGATCCTCACAGTCAATACTACATAAAACGTAATTTAATCTCAGAGTTACTCCCTCACAGTGCTGTGAAATTATAGTTAACATTGAAAATTATCTAACATTTTAGAAGACAATAATAACTGCTTTTTTTAAAGGATTTTATTCTTCCATTTTTTTTCACTGATAAACGATTATATCCTGAAGAACAGGCAAATAAAGGAAAACAAATGAAAATCAATGTATCAAAATGTTTAGGTAGCACATTGTTATAATTTTTAGAAGTTACTTACTCAGCCTTAAACTCATTTGGATCACATTATTCATATTTTCAGGGAAAAAATTCAAAAGCAAAGACGTTTTCTGTATAAGTAATTTGGAATAAATGTGCGGAATAAAAAATAGCTGATCTCCAGCTCTTAAAAAAAGTGACAGGATAGACATATCCTCGAGGTTCTAGCATCTCAGTGAGAAGAAGAAATTAAGACTGAGTGATGAGTAATAGTGCTTCATTTGCACACATGATTTATTCCTCCTTGAAATATTTGGCTGCCCTTTTAAAAAAGATTTTATTTATTTATATTTACAGAACTGGGGTATAGGCTAGAGGTGTGGTGGATGAGAGGATTCACCAGAGACAGAGTGGGGAGCAGAACAGGCAGATCTACCGCAATACACTGTTCAGGAGAGTTCTGCCACACCATGTCGGTCAACTCCCTGGCAGTGATCAATCAAACTTGCACTGAAATGGCTGCAGCTAGCTTTCTAGGGCTGCCTTTAACCTACTGTGCCACCAGGGAAGGTCCATTTCCCAGGTTTTTTAAACTGCTACCACTCTGTGTCAGAGAGACCACCACTAAAGATTAGGCAGCTTCTTTGGTGGCTTTGATTTTCCTTTCACTCAAGAGGACAAAAGAAAGAACTAAATGGGGAAGTGATCACATTTGTTTAAAGCTTAGAAAGGTCGTTGATACAGTATTTAATTAGAAGTAACAGCAGGTCCGGGCCCTCCCTGGTGGCACAACTGGTAAGGACGCAGCACTGTAAGCCAGCCTCAGCTGCTCTAGTGCCAGTTTGAATCCTGGCTCCTGAGGTGATCCACATTTTGTGTCCGACTTCTCCTGACCCGCTCACAGCTCCCCTCAGCAGTGTACTTCATTGATCTGCTTGTCCTGCTCCCCACTCTGCCTTTGGTGAATCCTCTCACCACCCCTGTACCTCTAGCTTATACCCCATTTCTATATGCATAAATAAATAAAAATATTAAAAAGAAGAAGAAGAAGTAACAGCAGGTCCAATAGGCTGCTAAGTGCCAGGATGCCTCCTTCCACCCTAGTGGGTGATAGTGTCAGGCTGATTTCTCCACTCATTGTAGCCCTTTTCCCCAAATCCAGCAAACTCCTCCAATCATATACTTTGAGAAATCTGCACTGGACCACATTACACATTTTAGTACTGCAATTTTCCTGGCTTCAGAAAGAACAGGATAAATTAATAAATCTCAATTCCAGAGTCCAGTAAAGAGAAAATTTACCCCTTTTAAGCAAGTAAGAAGTATAAGCAATGAAAAACAAGCATGCTTAATCAATATCCCTTTAATTGGGAGTTTGTAGGAATCACAAAATCTCTGAAAGAAAAAAGGGACTAAATGTCAGTGCTACTACAGGTAGAAACCAAACTGAGCTAAGAGTAGATTATTTCAAACTCAGTCCCAACATTTAGTCCCATGTACACTTTGCTCACCAGTGATCAGTCAATTTATGAACATCGGCCTTGACTTTCCTCAGCACCTTCATTCTAAAATATGCATAGAACTGCTCAGGAAACACTTCTGACGGAAACTCAAATCCCAAAGTGCAGCATAGTAAGGAAAAAATATACAGTTCACAAACTTCAAGAAATAAAGTTGTAATCTTGAAAAAATGAACTCAAGATAAATTTCATAGATGAAATTTTCTATTAGTCAAGCATCTGGGAAGGTAATCAGGTGGAAATTAGCTTGAAGGTGAGCATTGCAGAGTAAATATGCCTAGCCAAAATACTTTTGTCTTAGTGATATTCTTCCCCTTTGGATGTTGATATCACTGTTAAATTTTAACTTCCTGATCAAAGCAGCAAAGATAGGATGTGCATAGTTGGAGGCTCTCAAATGGATATGAAGAGCTGATTAATTTCTTCCTTGCAGTCAAGGATCACACTTTCCTATATGCAGAGATACAGAACTCCCCTATTATGAACAGAATTCCCCATTATGAACCAACACTAAGTTTTAGATATAAAAGACAATATTCAACAGTCAACTATTTCCCCGTCTGTAAATGTTCCTTCTCTTCCATAAAGACTAAAATATTTCAGTTAACAAAAGTCTACTTAAATCAGGTGTCGGAATTTTACTTTGTGAACTAAATTTTTTTACTTTTTATCACAATTCATAAGGTTATATCAAGTGACACTATATTTTTGAAAGATCAAGGAGCATTTACTAAGTGAGCAACTTATTTATTAAAGTGCATTTTTACTTTAATCATATTTAATTACCACCTAGACAAGAAGAATTAGAATCTATATAAATCAGCATTCTCCATCCTTCTATGTTTAAAAAAGTCTGTCATGGGTGTAGCATGAAAGTCCTGCATTGGGGAAGAAGGACCTTGATTAGGGATTATTTTTTGGTGTTTTGTGTTTTTCCCTAGAGTTTAGAATGTTGTGATTGTTTTCTAATTTTCATTTTTAAATGCTTGGGGGAGGGAGTGAGAAGGAATATAAATTGAAATATTTTGTGGCAGCTGAAAATGAAATGAAATTCACATTTCAGTATCCATTACTAGGGTTTTAATGGATCATATCCTTGCTCATTTATTCATGTATCTTTTAAGCTGTTTTGTGCTACAAACATAGTAGGGTGGTATCAGGGCTGCATAATCCCTAGAAATACATAGTCTGTAAAACCTAAAAGATTTACTCTCTGGCTCTTCATGGAAAAAATATTGGCTGGTCCCTAGGGTATGTGATCTCTAAGGTTCTTTTGACCTCCCTGTTTCTGGGATTTTTATTTCCTTAGATAAACCAGAATATTCCATCAAAGATAATGTGTGAAATACATACACTAATAATAGAATGATCACAAAAGAATTCTTTTGTATTGTCAACATTTCTCATGGAATATGTAAAATTACTCACTTTAGAGATAAAATGCTCAGATGTTAAACAGTACTTTTAAAGGGTTCTTAGAAACATTTGATTTTTAGTAATTCTATTAACATATTTAATAGGATGTCTGAAAAATTACAGAGTAGAATGACAATGAAATAGACCCAACTCCCCTAGGAATTCATCCCATAAAATATTTATTAATAAGTAAAATTATTTTCCCCTGACTTTGGTTATTTTTTTTTAACTGAGTATCTTTGTTGATACCAGTTACCAACAATAGGTTTACATTATTCAGTCATGAGCTTGATAGAAAGATGATCGACAGACTGATAGTAGAAATGACTAATGAGAGGAAAACTCTCAGTAGTACTAGAAAAGAAGTATATGTGTGTGAGTATGTGTGTGTAAAAGATGAATACCTTACAATAGTTTAATTACATGTCTTGTTTTGTTAGTAGGTGGAATTCACTTGCACATTCTTAAATTATTTTTTAATACACAAATAAATTCATTTGAATATCATAATTCAGAACATTCTGATGAATATAGTGCTTGTTTAGAATTCAAAGACAATGAAAATAATAACTAGCATATTGGGGGAAAGGCAATATCTCTCAGAAAAGTTATCTTTTGACTTAATAGTTCATAAAGTCTAAAAAATGAGTCATTTTGATAATGAGATGATAAAAAGCCTTGTGATTTGCAAAGTAAAGCATATTAGTGGCTTTAATTTCACCTCAAATCTCAGATTATGGCTGAAGAGCTGTACTAAGTCTCACTATAAATCATTTCTTTAAATTTTTACAGGGAAAACAAAAAATTTCTCACATCTAGGCAGAAATGCTGATCTTCATTTACAGTAATAATTACTTGCACTTAGTTTTATATAGATATGGGGATCAAAAACCAGACAGAACAAAATGCCAAGCCATACCACATGGTAAATTAAAAATTACTTGGAGAAGTAACAGGTGAGAGTTTATGATTTCAACATAAAAAAACACGAATTACTTCTCAGATGTCACTGAAAAGTCAGCAAATTAGAAGCTACAGTCAAGGGGATGAATGGTTTTATTAATACACCACCCACTACTTCAAGATTAAAATAATCCCAGAGTTCTGAAATGTCACTAGTTAGTGATACAATTTCTTTCAGTTTCTTTTTAATGTAGAAAATCACTTTGTAATAAGATCTCTACACAGAGTAAAAAAGCACAAAATAGATCAAAAAAGCACACAAAAATAGACAAAAAAATATATCTTTTTACAATGAAATTAAAATGTACCTGTGAAATACTGAGATCAATGACTACTCTCAGAGTTAAAGTCAGATTTCCATTTATAATAATTGTGTTCCATTTGTTTCCCCCTAAACTTTGGATGCTTATAAAGAAAAAAAAGAAAGAAAGAAAGAAAAAGGGGGAAAAAAAAAACTGCCCCAGGTAAAGAGAAGGAACAGGAACTCTGATCTTGTACCATAAAAATCCAAAAAGAAATAATAACAATAAAAATCCTTAATCTATCAGTTTAAAATTCCTTTGACAGTCATACCTCAAGGGCACTTAAGGGCTCAAGCATTTGTCACACAACCATCAGCAATACAAGTGATGCTCTTTTCCCATCATAAATCAACCATGCAGTAGAATGAAACAGATCCAGAAATGCTAATTTGGAGAGACATTTCATACAGTTGGAGGGCAAATGAAGTCACCCAAAAGAATCGTGCTGTAAACACCATCAACATGCTCAGATGTGCACTTGGAGTGTCCTTTCCAAGTCCACGACTTCCCTCTTTCCATGCGTCCCCTATCGACCCCCACACACCCGCCAGCACCTTATGTTACACGGTCACCGCCGGGTACATCTTCTGTTCACTGTTAGTGTGAGGGAAGGGGGCTTGGATCTGCCTGTAGCCCGTTTGCAGGCTGTCCATGAAAGGGGGCACAGGAGTCATGGGCACCGAGTCGTGCTGCACCGTGTACCCCACATAGGGAGGATGTAGATATTGTCCTTGATGGGGCACAATTTGAGTGGCCTGCTGACAGTTCAGCACAGAGAAATTTGTAGGCATGTTGACATATACATTGTTCATCGTCCCCTCGGGCAAACAGCAGTTGGTCTGTGACCTGGTTGGGGGTGCTCGGGCCCCTGAGTTGGCGCTGGAGCTGGAGCTGGCTGCCGTGCTGGACTGACGGGAAGACGACCCTCGGGAAGTGCTGGCGCTGGGGATCATGGGGATGGTCTCCATCAAGCGGTTTCCTCCTGGGGCCCGGCTCTGCTGGGGCTCCTGCTTAGGTCGGAGACATCTACAGCAACATGCTGCCACAAGTGACCCCAAGATGATGAAGGCGACAAACACGGACCCAACGATGAGAAAGGGCACGTAGATGGGGACTGAAGAAAGGGACAGAAGCATAACATTATGACTTGCTGTAAGAATGCAGTACAATCAATGAGTAGCAGAAGAGATGTATTAATGAGTGATGGACACTGATGCCCATAATTGAAGGGCTAGGTGGGGTCTAGTCACTCATTGGCATCCCACAAGATACACTAGGCTTTATCAAGTGCTTTGGGGTAGGTGCTAGGTCTGGCATGGTAGATCAACCCCCCCTCCCCCAAAGCAACTGTTAATATTTATAGTTAGACTCACCAACTGCAACACTGAGATAGATAACCCATTTAGCACAAATTCAATTTAATGTTTTCAGGCTGTTGGAATTCTAAAATTCTTATAACTGAAATGCCCAAACCTCAGTTCTAATAGATAGTTGTAGCATTCTGCACAGAAATGCATTTAAATTCCTTTCGTCTTCCAGAAAGTTACTTATGATTTTTTTTTAGCAGATTTCTCTTTCATTAGCAAATAAACCGTAACTTTGGGACAAACTCTAGCCACAACCATTTCCAAAGAGTCTCTAAGGCACAGAAGTAAAAGCTATCCCTCTCATTCTTTCCTCCTCCTTCCCTTTCTCCACAGGTAAAAGCTAGATTTTGAGTGGTAGGTTTAGCTTGGGGATTTGGATGGTGGAAAGATAAGGTGACTTGTGTGGAAGGAAGTTACTCCAAGCAACAGATCAACAGGAAACAATGTACAGAGGATAACAAAATCTGAAGTAACAAGACATTTGTTCCAGTAGAAGGTGCCCACGGTGAGCCAAGATGACTCTCCAGCAGGACTAGGCTAGCCAAGATAGAGTGCACACGCCTACATTGATGACCCTGGTCCTATGGGAAGAACTATCAGCAGAGGCTGCAGAACATTAAGCAACAGGTCTCATATTTAACATGTGAGTTTTTTTTTTTTAAGATTTATTTATTCATTAATACAGAATTGGGGTATAGGCCAGAGATGCGGAGGGTGATAGGATTCACCAGAGACAGAGCAGGGAGCAGAACAGGTTGACCGAGAAGTACACTGCTGAGGGAAGCAGCGGGAGGGTCAGGAGAGGTCTGCTGCGCCATGTGGTCACCTCCAGGGCAGGCAGGAATCAACTCATGCGGAAGTGGCCTCAGCTTCCCAGTGCTGTGCTTTCACCCGCTGCGCCACCAGGGAGGGCCTAACACGTGAGTTTTATTCTGACAAAATAAAGCCATGAAAGATAAAAAGAAAAACTTTACTAGCATGGGTTATGAGCTCCATTTTTAAGTTCTTTTAGAAGCCACGCAGGTAGTGATACAGAGCTTTCAGAGGCTGGACACACTGGTCACTGGGGACAGAGGTGGGATGCCTCTGAATCATGTCTGTGGAAGCCCAGCCTGCGTTGCCAGGAACCTATGTTTTCTGATGGGTTCAGCCCATGTTTCCGACTATCTGATTGGAAAACACAGGAGGACAGTTACCAGCACGTCGGTACAAGACGGCCCTGCTAGACGGAGCCCAGTTCTGGCTCTGCAGGCAGCTACAAGCTACTTGTCCACTAGAATCAGGCCTCTCCAATCATGCTCCTGTGACTGCCCTAATGCTTGGGCATCTGTGTTCATAACATATAGCACAACAGTGATTCATGGGGGGAAATATACCTAAAAAAGTAAAAGGCACTTTATAAGAACTCCAGTAAAGGCTGATAGTTAAAGATTCCCTTGACCATCAACATGAACAGGGCAAGTATCATATATGAAGCAGCTCTTCAGCAGACAGAAACACTACAGAGTTTGCAGCACAGCTGGTTTCTGACAGTAGCACTGTTTTAATTACACTATGACTTCAGGCGCAGCTTAGTAGAGAAGTAGAAGCCGGGCTTTCTCCTATGCATGCTATAAATATTTCATTCTCTAAATTAAGATACCAGCCATGAATATGTTATCAAGAAGTAAACAAATAATAGTAAACACACACAAAAATACCCCAAACATTATAGCAAAAACTAGCTGAAACCAGTCTAAGCCCACATAATGAATATGAGGGAGAAATAACTGTTCTCTTTCCAGGATTTTTAATTGGAAGTGTAAATAACTACACAGGGGTAAAGAATGCAGTGCTCCTATAAGCCCTTGGCACTGCTTAATTAGACATATTGTCCTTCTTGACTGCAGCAAAAAAATGGAAGGAATAGAATTTTGAGCAAAAAAAATGTTAAAGTAGAATGAAGCACACCCTCGGAGGTGATATGGCATCACGAAATGTCTGATGTGTATTGAGTTGCCCACATTCATGACCACTCTCTGGAGACCATTAACAAGCCCAACTTAACAGACAGAAACATCACGGTAGCAATTCCACTGTTGGCTCATTTCTCAAGGCTTTTTTTTCCACGACCACACACCCTGCAAGGCTGAGTTGGCCTTTTAAGAAAGCGCCTTTTCTGGAATTATCCTCAGTCCCCCTCTTCAGATTCAAGGCAACAGAACAATAGGAATAGTATGCTAATAAAATGTTTGGCTGCAAAACCAGGCAGCACTGAAAAGAGCTCCCTCTCACAGGAGTGGGGAGACAGCTCTGTTTAAGTACAGAAACCATTCATTGCCAACCTCAGGTAACTGAAACCCAGGGCTTAGGGTGGTGTTTAAAAAAATTCTCTCCTTAACGCAACCAACAATCTGCAGTAAAAGAAGCCCCATCTGTGACGTTTGCCATTTGACCTCTACCCCTCGGAAACTAAATCCTTCCTTCCTTACACACACACATATTAGGATAGGCACTGAAGGGGGACAGTCTGGGAGGACCTGAGATGTGGAGATTCCAGCCTTGTTTACTTTTCTATGAATAGCAATTTGAAATATGTGTATGTATATGTATATATGTGTGTATATATATATAATTTATATATGTAATTTATATATACATACAGATATATATATATGCATGTTTGTATATATATATAATTTAAGGCCACAAAGAGCATGCTTAGGCACAGCTTTGACAGCATAAGAGAACTGTCTGGAAACCAGTGATCCCGACGCTGGCAAGGAGATAAAGCTGCTGTGTGGGGGAAGGATTAAGAACCCTGGGTCCGGTAAAATTCATCTCCCAAGGGAAAGCACAGAGGAACTCTTCCTTAGCAGGCACTGACCCTGCTCTCAGGTACCTCCAAACCTTATTCCCTTACTAGACATTAGGCCTATGGGGTCAAGAAGCATGACAAGATGCACAGAGGTCCCCGGACAACAAGAATGCGGGTTTGGTGTGCAGCCCGCACTGCCTTAGATGTGTGGTTTTCCTCGGAAAAAAGCCAAGTTAAGCTCCTCCTAGGGCTGCGAAATTAGTGCCCCAAAATGTACAAATTAAAGGCTGGGCCAGAACACAGGCACCACGTCCAGGTTCAAGTCACTTCTCTGAAATTTCAGCGTTCCTGATCCCGTTCCCCTCTCCAGCATCCCAGCTTTTCGCCATTGTGGCGAAACGCTCTATCTCCCGGTTTGCGCCTGGCCTCCCCGCTGCCCTACCTGCCGAGCCGTCTGGGCCGTCTTTGTCCGCCCGGCCAAGTTCGCCCGCGCCCTGCTGGCGGTCGTTGTCGCAGCCGCCCTGGTCCAGGCGCGCCTCTGCGCTGGAGCAGCAGTAGCGCAACGCACAGCTGCCGCAGCAGATGGTGGCGTCCCCGCCGTCGAAGCGCTCGGGGCACTGGAAGCCGATGCGCCAGACGCCCTGCGCGTCCAGCCAGCCGTGGCAGTACTCGCCGCTGGCTCGCGCCCCCGCCGCCAGCAGCGAAGCCAGCAGCAGCTGCAAGAGTGAAGCGGCGTTCCGAGAGGAAGCAGCGGACGAGCGCCGTCCGCCCCACATGGCACCACCCTGGGCGCGGGCGGCAAGACTCCAGAGGGCGCAGAGCAGTCTCCAGGAAGTCGTGGCCCAGGCGACCCCGGTCCCGGTGGCTCTGAGGCCCGGACCTCTTCGCTCAGTGTCTCTGCGGCGCTTTCCGTGCGGGCCAGTGCCCTCTGCCGCGACGTCTGGAAGCCGTCCGCACCGGCTGCTCGAGTTGGAGCTCCTAAGGCATCGCCTCCCTCAACTGGGTGGCCGGGTCCCCGATAGGGACGGCCTTGAGATTAGACACTTGCTGATGGAACTCTTCAGGTGCAATATCAGAGGGGGCCCCCAGCTGCAGTCTCGCAGCCCCTGGACACAGAACTCTCCCGGAGCATCCCCGAGGGGAAGCTCACGCCGATGGGATGACCGCTGCACAAGCCGCGGCGAACATGAGCGAAGCCACTGCCAAAGAGTTTAAACCTCGAGGTCTCGCGCACAAGTCGAGGTGCGTCCCCTGCTTTATTCCTTCCTAGCCCAGGGAGAAGGAGCCAAAAAGGCGGGCAACGCACGCAGGGATCCCCGCAGCAAGTGCAGGGGCTGGCAGCACTCAGCCTCCTTAGCGCCGAACTCGGTCCGCATGGCTCCGGCCGCGCAGCCCTGGCAGCCCTTAGGGCGACAGCCCAACGCTCTCTTCCACCAACTGACGGTCAATCTTCCCAGTGCTCGCAGCGATCCAGGGCGCGGGCGAGGGTCCGGCGCGCCCCCGCCGCAGTCCCGGGAGCCTGCCGGGCTGGCGGCCGCCGCGGCTGTTGCTGGGCGCGGGTCCAGGCGGGTGGCTGGCCCCTGGCTCCCCCTCCTCCGCCTCTCCGGCTGCAGCTCGCTCCCACGGGCGCTGGGCAGCCTCGGTTTGACTCGCCCTCTCCTCCTAAACCACTACGCCCTAGGGAGGTGCGCACCGATGGGAGCCTCCCACGGAAGTTTCAGTCCTCCGGGCTACGGAAGAAGCTGAACATTGCAGCCGCCCGCACCCGCCGCGCCCGGCACCCAGCCAGCTCCCACTCTGCCGCCGCGGCGCTGCGCTCAGCTCTTATTAGAGGCCCGGGGCTCCCGGCAGGCGCATGCGTGCTGCGCGGGCTTCCCTCCTCCCTTGGAAGCCCGAGATGCCCTGAGCCCTTCACCTTGGTGAATGGTGTGGCCGGGGGCGGCGGGCTGCGGGCTAGAATAGACAGCCGGGAAAACACACATTCCCATAACCTAAGCTTTGCTAACACACAACAGTCACGATAAAGGCAAACCAAACTTGCTTATTGAGGATCTTTGTCACCCACAATTCTACTTACTTGTCAAAACTTCCCAAAGGATTCTGTTTTACAAACAATGGAGTTAAACTCAGATTAAACTCTCAGCTTCCAATAGCTAATGTTCTGCCCAAAATACAAGCCCAGGTGTGGAAAAACCCGTGTGGTATGGCAGCTGCCTTGGGCCTACTGCGTTCGGTGGGATTTAGGCTTCTCCAAGGTAGAATAAAGAGAGTGCAGTAAAGACAGCTCAAATTCTGCCTCTGTCTGGATGATTTGTGCAGCATTTTTTTTTCTTTTTATATTTGGGCGTGGCAGTTTACTGGATTCAAGCAGAAAGGTGCCTCTGTTCAACAGTTGGCATTTGTGGTGTAGACAGCTGCAGTAAGGAAGAAAACAAGGTTTGGACAGACCAGAAATTCGGCTTTGATGAAGTAGAAATTAATAGCTTCTCTCTTTCGGAAGCTGAAGCGACAGGTGCTGATTCTATTAAAGCAGCAGGGATTATTTTTATAGAAACTAGTGGCTCTTCTGAGGGTCTGGGAGCCAGCCAACCTGAAGTCTCCATCAGTCCTACCAGTAAAGAAATCTTTGCTTTTTGTTGCTCTCACTATTGGAGAATATTTTTTTTTCCCAATAAACACTTTGGACAGCAAGACAAATAATTGAGTAAGGGGGAAAAAAAATAGAAGCATGAAAGAACTATAGCTGATCATATATAGGGTCAATTTAAGCACATAACCTGGGGGTGGGAAGGCAGGGAGATAGGAAAAATCATCTGATAGGGACACTTAAATTAAATCAGTAGAAGCTGAGGAAGACTGTTTTTCAGGCTAAGTCTTTTTCTGAGAAGATACTATTAGTGAACATTCAATGAGGGCTTACCCTGTGCCAAGCACTGTATGAAGAGTTTTACATGCACTGTCTCATTTAATCTTCACAACAACCCTATGAAGAATTCATAATATCTATCCTTGTTTTTTGTTTTTCTTTTTTTTAAGATTTATTTATGTATACAAGATGCAAGCATGAGAGGATTCACCAGAAACAGAATGGGGAGCAGAACAGGTGGGTTGAGTGAAATACACTGCTGAGGGGAGCAGTGGCCAGGTCAGGAGAGGTCTGCCACTCCATGTGGCCAGGTGGGTCACCTCCCTGGTTGGGATCAAACTTTATCTGAAGCCACTGCTGATAGCTTCACAGTGCTGCACTTTAATCCATTGTGCCACTAGGGAAGACCCAATATTATCCTCATTTTATTGATGAAATTTACCTTCCCTTTAAAGAAGATTACTTTCCATCAATAAAGATGGATAGTACCAGTTTGCCTGGGCTGTCTTAGTTGTAATCAGTACTCAAGCCTGCCCTCCACACAGCTAGTCAGCCCAGTTTCCACTAGCGAAAGACTAACATTAACTGTTACATCTATACTAATCATCAGAAAGTTAGGTATCATTTTATTGCTATGGCATCATCTGTTTACCTGGGTAGTGTTCAGGGGTTTATATTTTATTTCCCTCAGGAAAAAAAGTTAATGTAAGAGAACTATACACTATCCTCATCTCCAAAAGACCCACCATTTATCAAAGTTTATGAAAGCAAAATTTTGAATCTTTTCATATTAGAAATATCCAGTAAACTGGTAGTAAATACAAAAAGTTTTCCTAAGATAGTTCACAATTTAGTCCAAAACTGACATACTTGGAAGTGCAGAGCTTACAGCTTACAAACTTTATTCTTCCTTAAAGTTTGAGGGGAGGCCTGTTTTAGAGCTACTTTTTGTGATGGTTATCAACCTTGCCCAGAGATCTTTTTTATATTTTTTTTCTTTTAAAGATTTTTTTATTTACTTGTGCATACAGAACTGGGGTACAGGCCGAGGCTCAGGGGCGGGGAGAGGCTTCACCAGAGACAGAGAGGGGAGCAGAACAGGCAGATCCAGGAAGTACACTGCTGAGGGGAGCAGCGGGCGGGTCAGGAGAGGTCTGCCACACCATGTGGTCACCTCCTGGACAGGTGGGAATCGAACCCATGCGGAAGTGTCTTTAGCTTCTTAGTGTTGTGCTTTAACCTGCTGAGCCACCAGGGAGGGCCAAGAGATCTTAGTATCACTGCTCTTCCTCTGATTTGTTTTCACTTTCCTTTGTGTATCAAGCATGATATTTGATATTTTATAAGCTAAGTTGTCAAATACTTTCTAGGTTTCTCTATGGGAGGTACTAGTGGTAAACATTTAGTTAATCATGCTCTTTCTACAGAATGTGAAAAGAAATCCCCTCACCATCTTTAACAGACAGTCTAAAGTGCTTTACCAGTCTCCTCTGAGACTGTCACTCACAATCATATAGGCAGAAGTAATAATAATTTATTACAATAAAAACTAAATGTCAGGCAATCTGTCATGTATATAAATACATGTGAAAGTGACCTCTTTCCTTTTAAAAAGCTTAATTCTATATGCATTAACAGCAAAAAGAATATTTTCTGGTTAATTCAACTTTCAGACTGTGCCTATATATTTATATATGTATGCAATGTGTGTGTGTGTATAAAATATAATTTAGTTCAAAACAAGTTCTGATATGTCTTCAGCAGTATAAACAGAAAAGCTTACACCTAAAATTCTGATTACTTATAACTCTGAAATTGAGACAGCTTATACAGACATAATCATATTTCATTTGGCTGGCAGTTCTAAAGTCTGCAAGATTTAGGATGTTTTTAATTTTTTGTTTTTTTTGCAAGATCCAGCAAGAGCAGCAGGTACTTACATTGAACACAGTAGTCAGTTTCTGTTAAGGAACAAAGGCTTTCACTAGGTTTGTTCACTTTTTTCCCTCCTCTTTTATAAGTAAGAATTGTATTAAAAATTCACATTTGGTTTACCAGAAGTTCTTTTAAGCTAAAGTATTTATGTTAATAGAAGAGACTTCAAACCCAAACAAACACGATAACTCATATACCTTTTCATTTCAGTTTGTGGTTACCCAACTTCACCTGAAAATGAAAGTGGTCATTAAAATCGAAAATATCCTTTTTGCTTTTAAATTTTCCATCTTTCATTGTCCTGTTTTTCCTTGCAATTCAATTAGTACATTGACTTTTAGAAAAGTAATTTCCACATTTTAAATTATTTTTTCCTCGTCTACCATTAACTTTAAACATTTGACATAATTCTCTCTCCCCATCCTCATCTCTAATCCCAAAGTTTCCCTGAGCTTTGAAACTATAGGATGCGTTGCTTACTGTTGATATATATGTATATCGGTATAAATATATTTTTATGTATTTGGAGATAGGACATTAAAACTTATCCAGCAAATACTTATAAATCACATATCTGAAAGGAATCAAATATCCAGAACACATACACTACTCAAAAACAAGAAGAAAACCACCCAGTTAAGAAACAAGGGACCTGAATAGACACTTCTGCAAAGATGACATATAACCTAACAAGCACATGAAAAGATATTCAATGCCACTAACCATCCAGGAAATGCAAATGAAAACCACACTGAAGTATCATTTCATACCCACTAGGTAAGTAACAACAATAAACAAAAAGTAACAAGTATTTTAGAGAGGATGTAGAGAAGTCAGAACCTATGCACAGGTCTGACAAGTATGTATAATGGTGTAACTGTTATACAAAACAGAGTTCCTCACAAAGTTAGATACAGAAATGACCCTGTAATTCCACTCCTGGGTATTTACACCAAGAAAAGACAAACACAAATATTCATACAGAAATTTGAATATACTTCATAGCAACACTACTCATTAC